TGATTGCGGTGGCTATCTTTCATGAAAGATTAGCGGTATTTCAATAACGATGGTAGAAGTAAGCGGATCGTTTGTCAAATACTGATCAGGATGTCGAGGGGCATTAGAGGTAATGCTACGTATAATGACATATTGCACGATAAGAAACGAGGCCTTTTCGCTTGCTTAAATCCTTTGTTTGAAGAAAAAAATAGTTAGTTGGCTTATGCTTTGTATGTATAATGTATTGGAATAAGATTGGCCTTCTATCCTTCACTGACAACAAATACGGCAAATAGAGCACCGTAAGCCCTAACGCTCATGTCATAAAGGCGTTTCACAGTTGCACGGCCGTAACACTACGAAGACGCAGCAAGCCCAGGAGCCCACTTTCGATATTTAGCCTTCAACGGCAGAACGTCAAATGGACGCCAAACCTCAGAACCTGAACCGCCATTGGATCCACGGGCGTCTTGGAGACCAGATGAACCCTAATGGCGGCATTACTAGTGCAGTTGCGTGACGTGTATCTTTTTTCACGATCGGTTTATTTCGATATTGTTTCCAATATCGTGTGACATTTGGATATTCTGATGAAAGCTGTCTTTGATGAGGAAAAAAGTAAATTTCAATTCCAATGAGCACCATCCGATATCACAAATAATTTTGCATTTTGCAGGATTTGGTTGAGAGCGAGGTCCAAATTATGACAAAGCGTGGAACAGGTCTGCTTTTGCAAAGTTACTGAAATAAAGACGTATTAATTATATGTGGGGTGGTTGGCTTATGTCTCGTTTATTTTTTTATTATCCAATTAACATTACTGAGGGCTGAATTGCTGGTGTACGTGTGTCTTGCCAGCATGCTATGCCATTATTTTAGCGTGCTTTCGGTAAACAATGGTATTATATGTCTTTGGCTTCCAGTTTGGGGGTATTGTGTGTTAGAGAGGGAATGGTCTTTGACGATCGGCACAATTTGACCAGCAAGAGTGATGGTCATTTGCATTTAAAACACATTTCACGTACCTGTAATTATGATGGTGTCCCGATTGGCAAGCATATGCAAGTATACTCTTGCAAGATGACAAGCCAAAGACAACAGCACTATAGTTATCCATGCTTTGCGTGTCGCCAAAGTACTTAGTACCAGTGGTACTGTACTTTATAAATAGTCAATAATCCTGGCGCATAACGTGTCACCCTTATCACTCAAAAAGTAGTTTCACTCCTGAGGATCCTCACACTTTTCTAGTCTCGAATGACATCCCGCACTGCTGTCGGCTTTAATTACATGTAAAACATTGTGCAAGTTTATTCAAACTCAGTTAATCCTAGATGCAAATTAACAATGAGGGCAACACAAAGGCGTGGAAAGTTCAGACATGAGAGTTTTGTTTTTATTAAAGAAAGAAAGAGCTTGGCAAAATATTTACAATTCATCGCGTCGATGTAAAAAAACAAAAGCACAACAATACAAAAAATCAGCAAACAGTTGTTTTTCGTCGTTTTCATTCGTTCTTAAGGGTTTTTTATATAACCATGTAAAAAGGCTCCATTTAATGGTACAGAATTTTACCGGGCTACCTGTACGGTAACTGAACGTCTACACCACGACATCAGTCTCTCGGAAAGCTACATGTATCTCCTACTAGTTTATGTAATCATATTTCACGGAAAAGTATTTGTTTAACAGTTTTTTTATTATCATTTTGTTTTAAAGAGAATTTATAACAACAGCGCGTAAGCCAAGAGATGAAATTGTTTGCCAAGGTAAACGGCGCGCAGTTGGAAGCACATGTGCAGCGTACAAAGAGAGCGAGGGATGTGAGGGGTTTGACATTTTGTTTCCATGGGTAGTTTACATTGTACTTCATTCATGCAAAGCCTAAACGAGAAAATAATTGTTGGCTGTGTTCTGGTAGGTTCTGTTAAACGGTGGATGACGCTTTGGTATCTCAACACTTATGTTACAGAAGCTGGTACATATGTTTGTAACTAGCATGAGGCGAGAAAGAAAAACACAAGGGCACCTGATTTAAGATGGTAGGCTGTCCACATAATAAACGCAGCTGTCTGCAGGGATATGTGTGTGTGTACTTCGATGATGAAAGTTGAGCATGCTCCAAGAATCTCTAACCAACTAAACCATCATCTCTATGTGAAATGGTGTTTTTTCTACCTTTACCTTTACCTCTACCTTTTTTCCGAAATATACATTGTATACTTGTATAATCTTTGTATTTAGTGGTCACCATGCAGTTCAATACTTTGAAAAGGAATATTACGTGTCTTTTCAAAATGAAAAATGAAGCTAGTTTATCTAAGTCTATTGCCCTCAACAAGTTGACCTGATAAACGGTATAATAGCATGCACATATATATATATATTGAAAAGAAAAATATATTTTGGAGACAGCACTGCTCTGTTTCGACCTAACCTAGTCCACTTTTATACTTTACATATACTTGTTTTTTCATCTACATGTAAGCTCAGTTCATTCATTGCAGAATGCACCTGTTTTAGATGCAGTAGATAAAGAAATTCGACCATTTATTCAATTGCTTTAAGCCAGTTCAGCTTTTCTAGACACCCTCAACCGATTAGTTTGTGCTAACGCCGCGTCTTCTAACAAGACGCTAAATGGAAGACATCCATGTTTCTGAAGCACAATCATTAGGGCGAAGACTGACCAGTGGTTCTCAAAACATTGGCGCTATTAGGGCCACGTGGGTTGCTTCTAATTATAGTGGTTACCGTATTGTATCTCGATTGAAAAAACATGAGGCAACAGAAGCGATTATAAAATTGCCCCGGGGTCTTCTCACTTGGCACTGGGAGTGGCTCTTGAACCTGGCAGTGCCCCTTCCAAGTTGTAAAAGCACTTGTTTTAAGTCGTAAGATGTTTAATTAATTTTGTTTTTAAACAAACACAAATTACAAGCAGTTTGATTTCTATTGTGTTCCTGCTGTCAACGTAATAGAATTTATCTTTTGCAAATTTGGATGTTTGACCCACAGGGTTGAAATCTTAAGTACTCTGCTGACGGAGTCTTTTCATCCGTCAGTTCTGAATATATTTAGGTCTTGCATTGTGTGGAAAAAAATATGCAGTTTGATATGTGTTATTTTCAAGCTTTTCTTCTAGAAAAAATATTCATTTTAAAGTACTATTTTAAGAAATACTTCTCCAATCATACTGCTACCCTTTTTCTCCAACATTTTCTTTGTATTGTTTTCTTTAACAAATGAATGAAAAATATATCCACTTGCCTCATCTCTCTTGACAACGAGAGGATAGTGTATCAGTGGATCGGTTTTGTGGCTTTAATGTTCTCCCAACTCGCCCACTTTGCTCTTGTAATTGGTATTTAAAGAACCACGTTGTCAAGAACACGACATTTGGTGTTTCACTCTGCACCGCGATGTTAAACCGCTATCAAATGGCACAAAGTTGAATAATTAAATGTGTATTGATCTGTGGGAAGTATATAAACATTAAAATCTTTAAAGAAATGCATTATAAATTATAAGGTAAAAGATTAACTGTCATAAAGTGAAGCTCACCCAAGAAATGCGTCAAATCGTGAATGCCGATCGCCCTGTGCACTCATGGAGAAGTTTTGAAATGGTTCCGCGTGACGAGTAACGCTTTGTTTTTATATTAATTTTTTTTTATATTCCCAATGCGTAGGATCTATCCAGAAACGAACTTGACGCAAAATTTGACGCAAAATATTCCCCATTGTACAAGAGATGTGCACTTGTCAACAAACTTCAACGACATTCTTTAAGACGAAAACAAATGTAGGCAATTACCACAAGTGTCATTTATAACTTACAGTACATGACTAGTTTCCATTGAGGCCCAAAGCCGGAGTGTTCGGGTATTATTTTCTTTTCCCCGTGGACTGAACGAATCCACCACTTGCGAATCGTTTCGTATTCAAGCGTCACGATTCTGCGATCACCCAACAAATATAACGAACTTAGTTTTTTGTCCCCTGAGACGACAGTGAATAGGTGTTTTTTCATCTCTCTCTTTCTCGTTCATTAAGCCATGAGATAGCCTAGTTTTTACTAAAAATAATCCTTCTCTTATTATTCATGGATAATCAACACAGGAAACGTGTCGTTGCATACAGTAGGAACATCCTGATTACATCCTCTGGTATTTGAAATATCAAACTATAGGTGAATGACATTTTCAGTATATTTGCAATTTTACTACCGAGTAGGATTCAAAGACACCGCGAAGGACATCAGCATTACCGACATGGCAATAATATCTTCAGTTTCCTGTCTTTTCTATCATGACCTCAAACATGAGGATACGCTGAATGCCATAACCCTTTGCAGTAGTACATGTACTTTCAGTCGCATTCAAGAAGCTAGAAGATGTTAGAAAATACTGTTCTTACAAACCAGTAAATTATTCAGAACTGGAACAAATCATACCGTTTGTCCTATTTTGAGCTCAAGTGTATATAATTTCAGCTTCCCTAAATTGACTGAGGTTCTGGACAGTAGAGTGTGTTTATTCCATTGAGGAATTCTGAAACATTTTACACTGCTCAAACGGCAACACAATGTTTCCGAAACAAGCACAGCGAAATATGCAGCATCTGACACTTTGAATTTACAATTTTTTTTTTTTTTTTTTTGAATATGATTAAAATGACCAAAGATTAGGTAATGAGAAATATTCAAATAGATAGTTTCTGAATTACCGTAGATCAACTTTTTCACACGTAGATATGTTCCGCGTAAAGGTCAATAGACATCCATCGATATTCAGGCCAATCACAGAGATGGCGAATTTAGATTAAGAAAATAAAGCTAACTAATTTTTATTTCATGGTCATACTATATTTTATATTATTAATCGCATTGGCAAACAATTCATACAACATCACTGGTTTATGTAGCTATCATGCACCGATGGCTTATCTTTATTTAATTAACACGAAAAACAAAATTGCCGTGCAGCTAATTCAATCAAAACTGGCTTATATTTGTAGAAGATGACTGCCAGACGTCTGTGTCAGTGGCACTGGATGGGGAGGAGTCGGAACTTCTGTTTATCAGCCCTAAAAGCAGCAACATAGGCGAACAGGTATGTACCTAGTACTGCATGCGTGTAGAACTACCTCATAAGTTGTGTTCCCATTCACAACGGAGCAGCAAACTTGTACAGTTGTATCACCATAAGGTAATCGTAGGCAGCAGAGTTAAATCACGTGATTATAATGTTTTAATATGTGAAGGATAAACACGTCTTTCTGGTGTAGTTAAGGGTGCACTGTGGTTAAAACATGGTCCGTGATTACTCTCTGCATGGCCAGAGGGTACGCTACTAATCTTCTTTGCAACCCCACAAACGAACGTTGTGCAAAATTGTTTGTAAATAATAACTTTTGCTGACTCGTCACATCATAATTTTTAGGATGATGAGTCTTATTAAATATTTGATATATATTATTTATCCCTAAGGCCATAACATTTAATACAGGCAACAACTTGCTATATTGTTGTTATTGTTAAATGATTAGGATAGTGGGGTTATATAAAAGCAGCCTTTTAGGGCAAATCTCGAACAATCGATATTCTTTGTTGCCTTCTTTCTTGTAATGAATGGGACCATGAAAGTTTGTGTTACACTTGGATGGAGTAGACATAAATGTTGAAATTGTGATTTTGCATAGTACTTTACGGGGCTCTGATATAGAAGGGTTGTCGGTGTCGGTATTTATCCATTTTTTTTTTTTTTTTTTTTTTTTTTTTTTTTTTTTTTTGTAAATATGAAAAAGTCGTTGTTTGTTACAGTACTTTATTATACACTTCATCTGATTATGAACTTCAAACTCTTGGTAATTTTCTCCAGTTGGGAAACCCCAAGTCCAATGTAAATTTCCCCTCCTTTTCCATTTCCCGACCTATTTCTGAAACTTGTGTGGTACTAGAAAGTAAGTAAAGAATGTATTTGAACAGAATATCTTTGTAGGAGAATTCTTAAATGGTTTCAAATTTATCAAATGGAACTTGTTGTTTTTTACAAAGAAACACGACAGAATTCTCATATTTTGGAAAGAAAGATATGTCCTAGTTGTTACCCAATTTTGATTCCCCCGCCGATTTCGATAGCGAAAATCATTGAAATCCAGAAAGCAAGTGGGCAATTCTATTTGCTTGAAGTTGAAATAATTGGTGAATGGATTGAAAAACTAATCAGAGGCGTCACTTGGTCTCTGGGGTTTACCATATATAAATAATAATATCGCACAGAAAATTAGGTGGTTTGGTTAAAGCATACATTCAGAATGGCACAGATATTATACTATGAATCCGCAGGCCATTTTCCTTAACGAAAGGGCGTCTTCAGCAAAAATAATCTGCAAGATTTCAGCTAACTGTTCAGCAAGATTTGTTCACGAGAAACAATAAGATGTGTAACAAAAGGCGACGAGGTAATTAGAGCACTCATATCCAGAGTTCAGAAAGTAAATCCTTGTTATAAATAAATCTAATGAGCTTACATTACTTACAAGGTCAAGGTCATTTGTTATAACAGTGCCAATGAGCCAGTACGTGGGCGACTGTCAAGGAATTAATGTCTACTGTATCAAATTACCTCTTTAAGAAATATCCCCCAGCCATTTAGATGCGTCAAAATATGTCGATATCGCACACAGAAGGCGTGGAAGATCGATTGTTTTGTGGTCGTTTTTGGTTTTTAATTGATGCATTGTGATAGGCACTTTGCTCTTTTAATGATTGTGAAGCATTTGACTGGAATGTCTGTTTTATAAATTGGGGCATCGCGAGCCGTACGATGTCCTACCGACACACACACACCCAAAAATAAGGAAAAAGCATTTATTTATACATTAAATAAAACATGAATTAATACTTTATTTCGGAACCCATAGAACCCACTGATTCTTTTTACACCTACAGTGTATCCAATATGATATTTATGAGTTTTATGAAAAACATTATAAAAACTAAAAAAAGAGATTATTGTTGCCAAAGCCAAAATTTAACCGACGGAAACTGAGCAGGCAGCATGTTAACGTAGGGCTTTTAGCGTAGGCTTCATTCTTACTATATAGCGTGCATACGCATATGTAACTTTAATCAGTAGAACCATATGTCATATCCGTGTTATTGGATCTGAAATAGGCTTTTTCGGCTTTCACGATTTGTTCTGTGCTTCATCATTCAGATGTTAAGAATAATGGTCATGAAAATCCCAGGGGAATAATTATTATTGGATAGTTAACCAGATTTGGGTGTGATTAAGTGATTTAGGGAACGAGTGCTCTCGGCAATGGACCGATGCAATATCCAGCGCTGTCTACATTAATGCCTCCAATCACTCTCAAGACGCCGGGTGAATAGGTGAGAGTTGCATCAAAGACTTCCAAACATTCAGACTTCTTCGCGGAATCAGTTATGTCCCTCATAGTGTTTCGAGCAGTATTTCTTTGATTATAAACATGCCTAAACAGAAACATTGGTCATCGCTGGGAAACTTCAATACAATGCACAGCAGATTTTGGCCAGAGAGTCTAATGTTGCCAAGATATTTTAGGGCATACGCTGCCTTGGGGTTTAGATTAGGAAATACGTAGAGGCATTGTTGGTGTCAATGTTTTGAAGTACATACAATGAGGATTCATCCTTTAATGTATGCGTACCCTTATTTCTCAAATACATTTTGTAGATACATTTTCTTAAAAAATCTGTCCCCAGAGGTTTAATTATTGCTGCTTCGACAGCAAACGACCTCATATAGGCGTATACATGCATACCCTCATTCCTATTTTCCAAATCAATTTAGGCAGATTTAGTAAACGCGTTCTAACTTTTACCTTCGGACAATAAACTACTTGTGCTTCAGCTAATAATGCTCACTGGTATTTTAAATTGTCTAGTGATAGTGTGAAACGCGTCTTTTATTTGTTTCTTTGTTTTGCTTGTTTGCTTGCTCACTCATGGACAAATATACGTGTTATTCGTCCATGGTTTATTTGCTTGCTCACAGTTGTACTTTGTTTCTGTGCATGTTTGCTTGTTTAGTTGCTTGCTTGTTTATTTATATATGTGTTTGCTTGTTTGATTTCTTGCTTGCTTGTTTGTTTGTTGTTTGTTTGTTTAGTTGCTGGCTTGTTTGTTTATACACTGTATGTTTTTTGCTTGTTTACTTTCTTGTTGTTTGTTTGTTTGTCTAATATACAAAGATTATGTATTTGTTGCTTACATATGATCCGACCGTTTTAAAGTTTATACCTCTACAAACTCGGACATCAACACCTGATTTAGGATTTCTACGTTATACTGTTTAGTTATTTTGCCAAATGTCTAAAACACGTGCCATCCTGCACGTGCAACCTCTAATTAGAGACGTAAATCAGGTGATGCAAAATTATGTTTGGCACTTAATTTGTGGCAGTCTTTTTGTAAAAGCCTGAGTCAAGTGCATATCCAAGGATCTGAAGTCGGAGATGATTAATTCTCAATCAAAGATATGCAAAAACGATGGCACTGTATGCCTGTTCTTTTAATCACGAAAGTGAATCACACTTTATGTGGAATTAAACTGGAGACAGTGTCAATGAACGGTTCCCTGTTGCGAACAAGTGCACGTACCGTAAACCTGTCTGCCGCCACTACAGAATTGTTATATTTGACATAAGATATTATAGATCCCGCCATGTTCTGAGATAAAATATCGCTCGTATATGTGGGAACGTGATAATGGGGTTTGATGGTTCCATGCATTGTGATGAACCGCGGAAAACTGTCGTAGGTGTGCTGTGGATTGCTAACAGCGGTTCTAACCTACTCGTACCGCCAGCCTAGGGATATAACACGTAACTTTACCTGCTCTCTTCTCTTGTTAAAAGCAATCTCCACGATCTTTTGACATTTAATAAGAAACCCACCCGCATATATATGTAATAGTATATATTGAATATATATATATACGCATGACGTCAGTTTCCTCTTGTTTCCCAACTGAATGATTCCGACCACCCAGGCCCAGGTAGATAGTCCCTCACTGTTACTAAAGTTTATAATAAACAGTTAGCAGGTCTTGAGGGATGATAAAAATTTGAAACCTGGAGAGTTTCAACACGTGATAAATATTTCATCAAATTATATCACATAAACATAAACATAAAGCGTACATGAATGGATAGGGGGCGACACTTTTCTCATAAAGGGAATAGCGGACCACACAAGGAGAGAAAAGACTAACTTGTGGCGCTCAGGAGTTTCATAAGATATCCAGGTATTGCGCCGTTTTTTTTTTCCAAAAGTTCCTCCCATGGAGAGTAGGGTAGGGGATGGGAGTAGTTGGGGATTTGACCCCACCCCCACCCCCGCCCCTGCTCCTGCCTTCTCTATATCCTCTCAGTGGATTACATACTGGGGGTATCTAGCATTACCTTGCATTATCTAGTACAAAACTATGGGACGCCATTAAGGGCAGTACGACACATGTTCATGCCGCGATAAAGAGTAAAATGACTGCGTGTACATTCAATTACCCCGCTATAAGGAAAGAGCATGCTATGTCTTATGACTGATGAGGAAGTAGAAACAATGTAGGGTGCAGACGCCATTATGAAAATATGTGTGTGTGTGAGTGTATGTGTGTTTGTGAAAGTGCCAGTGTGATTTCATAGCTAAAAAAAGGTAAAAATAACTGTACTTTGTATAACAGAACAATGTAACAGGTATCTTGACCTATTTGGGCCATTTATCTCTGTCGAAGAGGTATAAAACTTATTAATCCGTTAGTCCTGTCTCCATTGTAGGACTCTGATTGGCCTGTGGACGCTGAGGTGGACGCTTACGTCATCGTATACTCCGTCACCGACAAGAACACGTTCCAGTACGCTACCAAGATCTTGTACAACTTGCGGAAGGTGGCAAAGAAGGACTGTCCCATCATTCTCGTTGGCAATAAGATCGACCTGGCTAGGAGGCGCAGTTTATCAACTGAGGGTAAGAATTTTAAATCCTTACTCAAAATTTGTATAATCTGGCAGTGAGGTCTTAACTTCTTATCGCTGCTGCAAAATTGCCGCATTTTTGCCATAACATTCGAATTTGCATGTTCTCTGATGTACAATATGTAGTACTTAGTTAATATAAAACTGGGACAATACATTTGTCGATTTTTTACAATTAGCACTGTTAAATTCAAAGTGAACTACCTACCCTGACCACCCAGTTGGCCGAACTGGACGGGTCATAGGTTTAGTGATGATTTTATTTCAGTTTGAAAGATGTTTTGACAATTTCGACGACAGCAGACATAGGATCGAAGTACACTCAAGTGTGGTGATCAGCATTAAATTAAATATAGTCGATGAGCTGTAAATGTACGTCATTAAGTGTTATGTCATAGATCAGAAACAAAAAATCAATATCAGGACGGTAATGTGCACTTGCGTGTCGAGGAAATGTTTTAGTGAGGATTGCGGTTGAGAACAGATTAAAAATGCTTTTGGTGTGAACGCACTGTTTAGAGTTCAGAATAGGTCGACTTTTTCATTGGTGTGTTCAATTAAGATAGCGGGCATCGCAAAATATGAGCTAATTTTTTTTTTCAAAAATATGTACAAAGAATGTTTTATTAGATTATGATAAATGGACCAATAAATAAATGGGATAGAAAGACAACGATGTCGTTTATTACTAAACGCCAAAACCGCTAAGCTTCTGGTGCTGATATCGTACTTCTTATTTCTTTCAGAGGCTAAAGATGTCGCATGCCATTACAACTGCAAATTCATTGAAACGTCCGCCGTATTGAAGATGAACGCAGACGAACTGCTAGTGGGGATACTAAAGCAAATCAGACTGTCGGAAACACACCAACCAGATGACTTCTCAACAGCCCGAAAGATGTCGCTGCGAAAGTCAAAATCGCCAGTAAGAACATTAGCTAAGGAAATCATAAAGAAATTCTCAAGTAAAAGACGGACTTCAAACGCGGCAAAGTCTTGCGAAAATCTCTTTGTTTTATAAGGTTTTCATTCAGCAAGACATTTTTTCAGGGGTTGCATAAGTTTGTAAATTATGGATTTGGTGTTGTTGGCTATAGGAGAGAATCAGGCAAGAAAATATTACAGCACAAAGGGAAACAATATACAGTTTATACATTGTACATGTAGCCTTAAGAAATAAACTGCATTTTCGCACGTTTTTGCCATGAGTTCCACGAGACTGATGGATAAAGGCATATATATACAAACCTACCTCCGTTAGGAGTCTGCCATGTAATGGAACTTGTCGGAACGGGAAGGATTTTTTGAAGTATACAAAAACCGGCTGATAAGGTGAAATTAAAGTCCATTTCACATTGCATTTTTTTTGTTGTGAAAGTGAACACTGGCTTTGCTATAAGCATTTTCAGTTACATTGATATTTTGCTAGGGTGTCTGTCATTTTGATATGTTAACTGCTGCTTTCAAGATAATTGCCAAGTCAGGAACAGTGCCTCTCCTTGACATTTCACGTCGACGCTCTCTTGTGTACTTTGATAATGATCGAACAGTAGCATTTTATTGACAAATTATCCAACAGGACTTTTAACATAAACCCTTCTATGGATGGAAATGCGTCTTAAATAATCACATCTTTTCATTTTTGATTTATTTCTAATTCACCACCAGAACGAAGCTCTCCCGCGGAAAGGAACGGAGTGAGCTTGTGGTATTTTTTTACATACTGCAGTGCCCCATTTGATGATTGTAACGCACTCCTTTAAGTCATGTTTCCAGTCATGCTTTGTGGCTTATTGGGGCTAATCTTAAAGCTTTGGACTGTGGCCTTAGCTACAATGGCACCAAATGGGACAACAGAAGGATGATAGCTGATATAGTACCGTATTTGGTTGATTACTAGAAACGTGACTGCAAATGCAACCTTGTGTTCTCATATATTATAATATAACACTTTTCACGCTGGTTTCACCGTGATAGACTGCAATCGTTTGTTTTGTGCTGCTCTCCCGTTTGTAAAAATGAGTCAATATCTTTATCTTTTGTACATATAGACTGCTTAGCGTTGGCAAAATCGTCCATTCCATTGTTATTTCCCTTCACGCTGGTGCACAGATTTGATACCGAACTATTGTGAATAAGCCAATATTTGTAACATTTTCATTATACGAAGGCAGAACCAGGGTGACACAGAGGGTCGTCTCTAACCCCAACACCCATCCCCCAACCCCCCCCCCCCCCCCACCCCCATCCCACCTCACCCCCATCTTTAATGTCCCCTCCATTGTATTGCATGCAGACATGCAAATTGAAGCGAGGCGACCATTTTTTCCCCTTTTTTTACATGGGCGCCCCTCCTTCTTCGCTCTCCTCCGTACCCGGCAGTAGCCCACTTGCAATGTCTGTACATATTATATTATATTCACCAGAGCACAGCACATTTAATGTAATCTTTAGTGGCAATATCATGCCTTAGATAACCGGGAAGATGGGTTTTGTATATTGTTTTGAAATAAAGTATGTTGTGCCTTATGATGAAAGACTTCTGCTCATTCGTAAACGTTAACAAGGGCAAAAAAGAGAATTCTTTTTAGAAGTAATTAGTTGTGATTCTTTTGCAATATATTGGCATATGCTGCAATGATAATTCTCTGAGTATATTTGGGCAGGCGGTTCACATACATGTAATAAATGGACTTATAGGGCTGTATTGTCACTGTATTTAAAGAAAAAAATTGATGTGCCCCCAGAAGTCTTATGAATTTCGGTAGTAACATTCAAACGTTTGTGAACGTGATTATTTAGTTGCCGGTGAGCAACGGCGCAATTTATCAATTTGGACATTTAAACTTCATTGATTGTAAAACATATTAGTGAAATTTTAAAGTGCGAATTAATAAATTGATGCCATGGTGATCCAGACACTGTACTTGCTCTTGTTTTCAACCGAAAAGAAGCGCCTTGTACCTTAAACACACCTCTCCACTAATTATGGCATGCATTGCTGAGTTGATGTAAGATTGAAAGATGCATAATTAGCAATTAACGTTTTGTAAGAAAAATTATCAGATTTTACGATGCTGAGTAGACACGCAAAAGGTTAATATTAATATTTTAAGTGCCAAATATTTGTTGACTTCAAGAGGGAAAAAAAGACAGCATGTTTGTTCTGTCATTTCACATCTCGTTACTTTACACACTCTTCTACACAGGACAGTTACTTTTATTCAGTAAATTGGACAGGTCGATATTATGATACTGAAAAAAACTGTAAGAGCGTGAGAGAGTACAAACGAGCCGTGGAGCATTAATTAAATCACTTTGACAGCAAAATCAGAAACAAAATAAATAGAAACTAAATAGAACATTTTTTTAAAATATGGGTGTTCTGGGGTAACATTTGCGCAATAAATAAATAAGTAAATAAATAAATAAATAAATAACAGAGCAAGTATGTAATATCATACGTTTATCCTTATATTAGCCTCATTCTGGTCCTTCGGTGGTAAATTGATTCGGGTGACTTAAGAGACACAATAACCATACCATACCATAATCTCTCAGTAATGGAAGTGGTGGTGATATGGGTATCATCGATTTCGATATTTAAGTTATAGCAAACTCGTGCACAAATTTTACTTGGTTTATATCAGAACATTCGTGGTGCACAAGATTACTCCAGAGAAGGACGGATGTAGTTGTAAGAAAGTCGACTTCTTGGAAAGAAAAATGCCTTTTATGAACACATTAACGTGCTTTAATGAAAAGGGGTGAAATGCATAAATGATCACTTTACAGGGCTGTATTTAAATTTGCCCTTGATTACATCTGGACAGCAGGTCTATTCCAGAAAAACAAACGCCCACAGTCTGCCTCTCATACATATATTTACTATCATAAGGGTCTGTCTGACCTCTGTATCATGTGATTTATCAGACGAATCAGGAAACAATTGCCGTGACTTATACCGAAAGTGAAAAAAACTAATCAAAGAAAATATGTTAGTTTTAAACACACCTTTTTCCCATGTCTGCCCTCCGCAGATCCTCAGATAGGGGCGTGACATTTTCAGCCTGTTGGCCGTGTTCGGAACAACACATACATATGATAACGTATAACTGTCTACCGGTGATCTCGCTAACTTAACCAATCCGTTTAATGATAAGAAACGTTGCGGTAAACCACGTATCTTATGTTGCCTTTTAAATGGTTAACATTTTGGAGATAAAGAAATGGAAAAAAAATAAAGAAGGAAAAAGATGGAAAAGAAAAATAAAGAAGGATGAATTAAGTGTAGGGTGAGAGAAAAAGCCCTGGTGACCGAAAAGACTCAAAATAATGACAATATATTCAATATTGATCAAAAATTGAGTCTTTAGTGGGTTGGTAAGTAAAGATCTTGATATGCACACTTTGTTCATCAAAATAAAAAAGAAAAGAATACTTCTTCAAAATTAAAAAAAATGAAAAGAGTACAAGAAAACGAAAATTTAACAGTAATAACGTCGTGTAGATGTAAAAGAGCTCTGATACCGTAGGAGTCTCAAGCATAGCCTGGTACAAAATCAAAAACAGACGCTTCAACGAGTTTGTAACGAGCTTAAAGCCACCCAGTATTCAGAGGGTACGTCTTAGACCCCATTCCCACAGATTTTAGATCGATCTATCCCACGGCGAGCTCATTTTGGCGTATTTTGCTTTATTATCTTGAAACCTGTCAGCGAACGCCATGTTTTGAAAATTCCGTTGGACCATGTTAAACTTGGAGAAGAAAATGCTAATATACATAATTTCTTGCAATTCATTTATTGTTCAATGCTGTGAAAAGATATGAGGTGCAAATCTACAAACCAGGCATGTTCGCCAGCAAGCTTGAAAATTGTGGAAAGTAAAGCCGTCTTTTTGTTTAGTGCGCGTACGTGCTTATTGTTTGTAATTTAAAATATTACTCGGTTACGAGTTTTAATTCAGCGTTGTGTAACTGAGACAAAGGTTCACTTGATTCATTGCTGTTGTTGTTTCAATTGATATAGTGATATAACTCCACGCAGACTGGTGAGAAATGCATCAAGTTCTTTAGTTTCACATGCATTGAATGTCTGTGGCCGTTTGGTCATGTATTTGGTATGATGTGTAGGTCTTATCCAATATGTAACTAACGTAAAGTAGCTATGTGACTGAGGACCGAAAGTCCAACACTCGTGTTTTCGGCACTTTTTGGCTTGTCCCAGTCCTGAAACTCTGGAAAAAAAAAGAAATGCTTTAAGTCACTGCGCCGATTTTATTTAAATTGATAAAAAGTTACTTTTGTGGCTGAAGCACATAAAATAAAATAATCTGGAACACGAGAGCAAGAGTTTTCGACACCCTTCCACAAATCCAGATTGACTTACTTAAAGGGAGACGAACATTTAAAGTAGTCAATTTTATTGCCATAGTCTCTACCTTACTGGGTTACTTACTGGGTCTCTGCCTTACTGGGTATACTCGATTTTAACAGTGAAAATGTTCAGAATACGACGATATTATAGTTCACACTAATACATATACATATAAAAATGTACCTGCATGTATTTTAATCAAACCAAACAATGGAACTTACAATTTACATTGCTTGTCTGTGACTACCATCCACCACCAGCTTTGAAGGAGCCACCAGCACCCCCGAAACTGGAGCCGTATCCACCGCTTCCGTATCCGGAACCTCCGGCGAATCCTTTAAATCCAGATCCGGCTCCACCGAATAAAGGAGTGCCTCCGATACCTTTGAATCCAGACCCGGCTCCACCGAATAAAGGAGTGCCTCCGATACCTTTGAATGCAGATCCGGCTCCACCGAATAAAGGAGTGCCTCCGATACCTTTGAGTCCAGAACCGGCTCCACCAAAATAAGGATTACCTCCGATGCCTTTGAATCCAGAACCGGCTGCACCGGATCCGATACCCAATCCAGAACCAGCTGCACCGGATCCGATACCCAATCCAGAACCGGCTCCACCGGCTCCTCCCAAGCCAATGGCGCCACCTTGAAAGGGAAGACCAGTGACTATCCTCGTCAGCCTGTACCCAGAAACCGGTTGGTGCACAATCTGTGGGACTAAGCGGACCCCGGGAACTTGAATGACTCGCCTCGTAGGCACACTGACTAGCTTAGTTCCGTGGATCACTCTATGTTGAACGGTGGGGATTTTCCTGATTTGAAGCACTTGCTTCAGAGTCGTGAATGGTTGGATGTGCTGTGAGACTTTTGGCTGATGGTAAGCTCCCTTCATCGTGGTGCCCAAGGCGACGGACACAATGGCCAAAAACACGATGACCTTCATGTCAGGTGTTGGGTGGTAAACTGCGAATAGAGAAAATGGGGGCTTCGAGTCGGGAACAAGCGCCGAAGTGAGAGTTTCTCTCTCTTCTCACCTTTTTAGTCTTTTTATACGCCCGAGTTCAGACAGTTTTTGTCCTTCATTAAACTTATTTAATTTTTGTGTCATAAGATTTATCACCTTCCAAAAAATTCACTAATGACAACGAACATGCTATGTGACGTTATCATTTTGAAAAAAGGGCTTCGCCTTCGTAGAAAGCAAATTGTTAAAAATGATAGTGTTTCAAAGTACGCACGCCTTTCACGAAACAAAATAATTACCAGCATTTGGTAAAAAGTTGCGTTCCTTTTGTACCTCTAATAACAGGTTTAAAATATAATAGTACGTTAAAACACGCAATCGTTTCCTGATGGAGAAAAGATTATGGAAAGCTATGCGCGAATTCACAAATGGGTCCAAAAAAGTCGAAATTAATGCCATAAATAAATGTGGCGACTTAGTAATACCGTATGTCTGAACACTGTATATACAAGTGAAAAGTATGGATAATGTTATTCAAAGTTTGTAAATGGAATACTCTGTTTTAATATAAAAAATGAACATTTAACATCGTGTTTATCCTAGAAGTTGTACGCAGCTTTAGACTTAAACATTTGTAACTTAACGATCGCAGGGGCGGATCCAGATATATTTTCTGACAGTCTTCCAAATTATCTTTATCGATCCATCCTCCATTTTTGACCGTCTTCCGACAGAAAAAAATTACATACATGTACCCGTCAATGTAAACTTGAAAATTTGACCGTTCTTTATCGAGCAGGCACTTTACTTTCTTTTGGTACACTTTTCAAAATCTTCCTATGTTTTTCTTTGCATAA